CTTTTTTTGGAATTAATCTACAAGTGAGAAAAAGAGCTATAGGGATGGGCTAGGGAACCAAACCCAAGCAAGAAGCAAATTGTTGCCATAAATGATTGAATACGAATCCTCTGCAGGAAACAAGTTCACATGGCTATTGTCCTCATAAAAGAATGATGAAAAGTTTTGCACCACAATATTTGAATGACTCGTTCCAAGGAAAGAATAACTTTAAGAATTCAATATTGAATAATGGAAGACAGGGAAGAGAAGAAATGTTACATATTACATTGTTCTTTACAAATTACAGAGAGTGGAAAATGAAAATGAATAACCTGAGCTAGCTCGTGACGAGTGGCAATAAGCTTATCAAGAACATCAAGGTTAGCACGAGGGCTTGAATTTCCCTTGATATATGCCATTTTCCTTACCTGAAAAAGTGTTTTAAGTGCAAAAAAAAAAAAAAAAAATTGTTAATCAGAAAAAGGATCAAGCCTAATCATGAAAAAAATTGATGCCTTAGCAAAACATTATTTCTGAAACATCTCATCATATGTTTTATAAGATCTCCTTCCTCAGATATCTAAATCTGTTTGACTTAAAAAATGCATCATAGGGCTTCAACCTACAAGAATTTATGGAAACTTCGACATCCTTCAAAGTACCCCAAGCCACTGAAAACACATCGTGCATTACTATACAACTAACACTTAACAGGACTACCCACCTCATCATCTGATGCGTATTGTAGAACAGAATATAGAGTATCTGCATCAGTCACTAATCGAAATCCATTTTCTTTCATGCCTTTTCTTGACCCAAATGAATCACTAGAACGATAGATGGGCTTAACAAGATGGTGCAACTTGTTTGGCATACACAATGGTGGAAATATATCTACAGAGCCTGGGTCAATGACGATATTTTCTTTGAACCTGACCAAATGAAACATATTCAACAAAATTAACAAAGATGCATGGAACATCTTTCTTTTTCTCTTCTTCCCCTCCAATAGGTAAGAAATGGCCTAGGTCGTTGAGAAATACTTGCATATAACAGTATAAATATAATGAGGTTTCTCGATAACTGATAAAGAAGAGCATTCACCAAATATTACAACTTTACAACAGCTCTGAAGTTAAAGTATGATCCAATCAATTTATTGAAGACCACTTGAATTTTGTGACCGTAGTATTATGTACAGTTTATAGTGACAGCTAGTGACTCCTTTTATTTCTCTTTTTTTTTTCTTTTTTCTTCTCTTTTTCTTTTTTTAATTGATGTGCAGATAATATCATTGAAAGAAGCATGAAAATGATATGAAGAGCAAAGCAAATATAATTTAGCGACTATTACATGCAACTTACTCCTGACATAGCTGAGAAATTTCTATACTTAGCTGATTTACTCGATCTAATCTCTCTGCATAAGCATAATTAAGGTGTTAAATTTTAAATGCAGAAGCATGAGTAAGAAGCACGGAGTGAACTACAAACAGAAAGTACCAGCAGAAAGATGAATTCCAGCCCTTTCAAAGTCAACACGGAGGTAATGGGCAGCCTTATGAGCTTCACGTGTAAGTAGATGAGCCTCATGCTCAGCTTTTTTTACAGCATTATACAAAGTATGATTTGTATTGAGATACTATAAAACATAAAGAAAACATGAATTAACGTTTGGGTACTAAGTTTTCAAACAGCCAAGAACAATTCTCATGCAAAATAGAAAAGTACAAAGGAAGCTTGGTGATCATTTTAGTTTTCCTACTCTATATTATGTAAGGCTAAGGAAGGCACGGATAAAACTGATATATAAGCATATGTAACTCATCTCAATATTTTCTTTTCAGATCCAAATACAAAGTTTTTTCCAGATTTTGTTTTCAATTTAACTACAGCAAAAGTCTTTATCCATTTTGTTCAAATTCAAATGTTAAAGTATTTTTCAATCAGTAGGTTCGAGTTACTTACGTTAAGTACTTTTCAGTTTCAGTAGCTTCAGGTTACTAAAATAACAGATGTAAATCAAGTAAAAAAGTTTAATAGTTAAAACTTGCTATCTCATAATTAGTCAAGTAATATTGATTCTCTCTGTAGCTCGTAGGCTTCATGGTTACTTAACCCACATGTCGCAGGTTCAAAGGGATGTTGGAGAGAGAAAGAAACAGTTTAATAAAACTAATCAAGTATAAAATTTTAAAAGTTGTCATCTTATAATGGTGATCATGAGAGATAACATTTAGGATGAAGCCTGTAAACTAGGCTGTTTTCCGAGACTGGCAAGTCCACTGTCCGAATTACTATTCAAAGAAGGTTTATATAATAAAAGAGGCAATTCAGTCCTGATAGTATATCACATTTTACCGCTACAGCTCACCAAATTAGTTATTCTTAAAATTTTAAATAATATTTTGGCACTAGAGTTGAAGTGGAGAAGAATACACTATTCCAGAACACATGTTTGGTTTTCACTGATGATAAAGCTCAGACTTGACAGTGATAATGAATTAGTTGGCAAACCAGTAATACTGACTACTGACAAAGAAAATAAAAAAAGTCACATTCAAGATATGGTTTGCTGGGCTCCTCACATGAAAATATTCGTTCAATCTCATAGCTGCCTTGTTTGCCTCCTCCACAAATTCCCTATTACGTGAAAAAATTGTAGCAAACAGTCATTTAACAGGAACAACTGCTAGACTGATTGGCAAAGCAATATGAATAACAATAGCGATAACCAAGGTGCAAAAATTATCTGAAAAGTAACAAACCTGTCTGGATGAGTTTGCCTACAAAGTTCTGCAGAATCAAAAACAGAGCACACCTAATCAATAAATACCACAATTAAACCAAGAATTCTTACATGGAAGCTGAAATATATCCGACAGATGGTTCAAAATTACAACTCAAAGTAAATCCAAAATTCTAAACCTACTCTGTTGGAAATTTCATCCATTGCTCGGATAACTTCTGCTGAAGAAGGCTTGCTAGAAATGAAAGTAACAAGCTCGCCAGACCTAAAAAACGGATAAATTATTTTTCAAAGGGAAGAAAGTAATTTTTTCCTTGCTGTTTCAATTAGATAAAGGTTCCAAGCATCCTCTCGCTATCAATGAATTTAGATATTTGTTGTAACATGGTGATGAGTTATTTTTTGAGTATCCATGTGTTCAAGTCAGCTGACGTGTTGGAAAACGCATGGATTATTATATTAATACCTCAAGAAAGTGGCTCCCAAACCCAGAACACATGACTTCCCATATGATACAATATAAGACGTGATGATTTTTGTTTCGAAATCCTTTGTATCTTGCACTTTTCTTTACTCCCCCAATTCAAAGAAAAAAAAACCCCGTAGATAAAAGCCCCCTTGAACTTCCTTAAAATTTACATAGAATGAGAATTCCTCCACTCTGTCATATACATAACTAAGCTCAGTTGTTTTAGTGTTAAGCTAATCGATGGTACAGAAGACCAGAACAATAAAAATTGTCAGAAAAAATCGTTGTTACATTTTCCGGGCATTATCTTGTTGATCAAGCAACTCTGACAGAACAAGGAACCAAATTAGCTACAAAGATGTTAAGTAATCTCTATGCTTCACAATACAGAAGTTAATACTTCCAGTTTCTTCACTTTGGCTTCCAAATTGAGTCTCATCTCTCAAGCATTAAAGGCTTTCAACTTCTAGCGTTAATGTTGTTACCTCTCAATGGCTTCATCGACGAAACGTCGGAAACCTTTAGGCGACTTGAGGTGCTCAAAGCCATAAAGACCGGTTGCAGCACCTTTCTGCGGAGCTGAGGCTGGGGCGTGGATCGAACGGC